GTGACTTGCCCAGAGTCACACAGCTAGTGAGTGTTATGTGTCTGAGGCCAGATTTGAACTCAGGTCCTCCTGAATCCAGGGCCAGTGCTCTATCCATTGTGCCACTTAGCTGCCCCATGTATACACGTTTTTATAGCCCTTTGGGCATAGTTGCACCATTGCTCTCCAGAATGGTTGGATCAGTTCACAACTCCACTAACAATGCATTAGTGTTCTAATTTTCCCACATCTTCTCCAGCATTTATCATTTTCCCGTTTTGTCATGTTAGCCAATCTGATAAATGAGGTGATACCTCACAGTTGTTTTAACTTGCGTTTTTCTTATCAGTAGTGATTTAGAGCATTTTTTCACAGGACTATAGATAGCTTTAATTTTCAGTCAACATTTATTAAGCACCTACTGTGTGCTAAGGCCCTGTGCTAAGCTCTTGGGATACAAAAAGAGACAGAAGGCTGGCCCCAAGGAGCTTACAGTCTAATTAGAGTAATCATGTCCAGAGTCAGAGGACCATAATTCTAGAACTGTGGAGGACCTTAGGATGGAGGACAAAGCGTTTACCTAGTGCCAGGCATTTTGCTTGTGCCTTAGAAGCTTCCTAGTTCAAGCCATTCATTTTACAGATGAAGAAACTGAGGCTCAGAGAGGGCGACTTGCCTAAGGTCAGAATCACAGGTCCTGACTCCATATCCAAACCTCTTTCTGCTATACTTCTGTGTCTCTCTGGTGTAATGGTTTTTAATTTGAATTTTTATCAGCATCTTTTGTTTTGACATTACCTTTTGTTTTGATATTTGTTTGACATTGCACCCTGACCCTACCCAGGGAGCCATTCCTTATAACTCTTTTTGGAAAAGGCAGGTCAGAAAAACTAGCCAGCACGTCAGCTGAGTCTGGCCAAACATGTGGTGTTCAAGACCCCTGCCCCCGCCACACCCTAGGTAAATAATAATAATAACTAGCATTTATAAAGCTCCTACTGTGTGCCAGATACTGTACTGAGTGCTCTACAATTATTATCTCATTTGATCCTCATGACAGCCCTGGGAGGTAGATGCCATTATTATCCCCATTTACAGATGAGGAAACTGAGGCAAACTAGGATTAAGAGATTTGTCCAAAGTTACATGGCTGAAAAATGTCTGAGGCCAGATTTGAATTCAGGTCACACAGCTAGTAAGTGTGTGAAACAGGATTCAAACTCTGGTCTTCCAGACTTTAGGCCTGGCAAAGAAGGGAAGATGGCACTGGTATTAGTTACTACCAGCATTAGCTATCATCAGTCTGAGCAGCAACAAGAAGTGACATTTTTATCAATTCTCATGAACCCAAAAATCACAGAACTGAAGACTTAGAGCTAAAAGGGACTTCAGAAGTCATCAACTACAATTTTCTCATTCTACAGGCAGGGAAACTGAGGCGACAGAGAAAGGACAAGTGACTTGCCCAAGGTCACGCTGGCAAAAAGTGATAGAGGTTGGATTAGAACCCAGGTCCTCATATATGCTTTTCCCAGTAGACCCTGTGCTAGATAGAGGCTGAGATGTTTTTAAAAAATTAATTAACAAAAATCTAATTTCTCTTCCTCCTTTTAAAAAAGAAAAAGCCTTTGTGACCAATATTAGGCTGAGATTTCACTAGCTATCATGTTTTCCTCTATTAAGCCCTCTCAATTCCAGTATCTTCCTTCTGTGACTTATTTCCTGCATACAGCTTGCTTTGTATATAGCTGTTTGCATTAGAGTGGAAGCTCCTCTGGGGCAGGGACTATCTTTTGCCTCTTTTTGTATCCCTAGTGCTTAGCACAGTGCCTGGCACACAGTAGGTACTTAATAAATGTTCATTGATTAAGTGGAGTGTTTCTTAGGGGATGATTTCATTGGCACAGAGAACTCTCAGATGAAAAACTGTGGATTAGTGGAGGTTGCCGACTCTGCAGCCTGTGGGCTTGGAGGTGTGCGTGGGCTGTAAGAGGTTCATGGTCCCCCAGACCGGGCGAGACCAGACTTGACCCTGGCCCAGGTTGGCTCCCAGGCCAACTCCATCCCGCTCCTCCACACCACCTCTCTCCCTTAGGGGCAGGGAAATCAAACGCCATTGGGCGGTGTTTTCTCTCCTTTCAGATTTTATCTCCGTGTCTAGAGAGACCTGTTAATTTGAGGTATTTTATTTACTTCTCCAAATAATGACAGACTTGACTTTAGGATGTTTCATTTGGGTGCTGTTCCTTGGGCTGAATGAGAAGCGTTGCTCGGCTTTGGTGCCTTCCTGGGGTCCTTCTAATCTGCCTGTCATCACTTTGAATGCATTGAAGTGGGGCTGGGCAGGGGATCCCCCCCAAAGCACAAAGTGCTGGGCTGGGAATCAGAAAGACTGAATATAAATCTAGCCTCAGGCATGTGACATGGGATTGGGGGAGGCAGTCACTGAGCCTCTGTTTGCCTCAGTTTTCTCATCTGTCAAATGGGGATAATAAGACCCCTCACCTTACCGGGTCCTTGCGAGTGTCAGATGAGGTCATCTTGGTAAAAAGTGCCTGGCACATAGTGGGCACCTAATTATTGCTTATTGCATTCCATTGAACCCCTGACTTTTCATGGGTGCTTCCTTCCTTTTGTCAGCCGTTTCTTTTAAAGATCAGTTTTCTGTGGCAAACCTAACTGGAATATCTTGTTTGAGTCACAGTATGAAGGTCTGGCTTTCTGTTTCTCTAAATGAAGGGGGATTGGGGATGCACAGCAAAACAGCTGAATGGTAGATAACGTTCTCTCTGCCTCACCCTGAGCTCATGGAATGTGTGCATGCCATCATGTGATTTATTGGACCACTGGTGGTCTTCAGATAGGTGGTCTGCCAAGCTGTGTGTTTAAGTATTTAATAATCCAGGGATCGTTTAGTCACCCTGTGGTGTCAGGGGCTGAGTGGTTTTGTTTCTGTGGACCTGAACTGGGTTTTATTAAGCACCTACTGTGTGCTGGTGCCTGGGCTAGGCTCTGGGGATTTTTTTTTCCAGACCAGTCCTGTGATTTTATCCTTTTGGAAAACCTCCTCTTTCAATTGAGATCTGCCACATAAGCCTTAGAGGACTGCCCAGGGTCCTAGAGATTAAATGAACAAACAAAAAATCTTTTGTTGGGGAATGATAAGTGAACATAAAATCCACTTAAGGGAATTTGGAGTGGATGTGGGGCATGAGGAAAGTGCACACAGCTGAGGGGGTCAGGCAAGACCTGGGGGAGCAGGTAGGGACCGAGGTGGGCCTTGAATGGCACTCAGGGATCCGGGAGGGAGAGGAGAGAGGGCGTGGGGGGGGGGTTGGCTGTAGCATAAAGTGCACAAGGGGCAGTATTTTGAATTCAACATGGAAAGAGAGATCCTGTGTGATTCTTCTCTGAAGCCCGACATTGTGGTGTTTGGACAGTCCTGGGCTCTCTGGGCTGACAGCTGGACAGGCAGATTCTGTGTGCTGCCCTGGAGAATCCCTAGCATGGCCTAACCCAGGGGTGGGGAACCTGCAGTGGCCTAAATGACCAAATTGACCAAATTGGTCAAAGGGCTGTGCCTGAGGACCTAGAGGGCTGAAGGTTCCCCCCCCCCCCCAACCTAACCACTGCCACTGTCCGAAAGCCAACAGCACCTGCCTCATTGTCAGCTGAGGTCTGGCTGGGGCCGGAGAGGGCAGCGAGGAAGAGCCCAGGTTCCAGTGCTTCCTCTGATGCTTATGACCTCAGGGCTCTTGGGGGGTCACGCTTCCTCTGTCTGGGCCTCAGTTTCCTCCCTTGTATTTGGTGGTCCCTTTCGGCTCTGTATCTGAGTGAGTCTTTGATTTTTTTTGTGAGGGTGAACACCTGTGTCATTGAACTCTTTAGGTACAGTGTGTGTAGCCTGTGATGGGTGGTCTTCCCACCCCCCTCCCTCTCTCCCTCCCTCCCTCCCTCCCTCCATCCCTGCCTCTCTCCCTCTCTGCCTGCTCAGCCTACATACACGTCTCTCCTATCCACGTCATCTGATGACTGTCTCCCCATGGGGCTTCATCCAGTGGGGGACACTCCTCCTGTATTTACCTTGCCCTGATGTTGTCCGTTGGTGTTAAGGGGGTGCTTACCTGGGCTTAGCCCTGGGCTTATCCATACTTGGATGATGAGAACACGGTGTAGATAGGATCAGAAGGCTCATCTGCACATTGTCCCTCCTGGAAGGTTTACGGGCATTTCTCTGCATTGTGGTTTTTAGTTGGTTACTTATCATAAGCTGAGATCAGAATTCATAAAATGAATATTCAGGTTGTGATTGACTTTGGAATTTCCTTCATTGGAGGAGGTAGTTAAAAAAGAATCCTTTGCCAAGAGGGCCAGGGTGGGCAATGTTTTCAAGTGTTAGCGATTCAGGAAGCCGTCATTCATTCATGGGAATTCATTAGTGTGTAAAGCCCTGTACTAGCTAGTCTTGGGGGGGCCTGCCCCCAAGGACCGCAGGACCTGATGGGGAAACCACCAGCAGTCACCTCTGAGGGATTCTGCCCAGGCTGGGCCCTGAGCTGGGTGCTGGGGGTGCAGTACAAGGAGGAGATAGCCCCTGCCCCCAAGGGTGGGTGCCCCATGTTCCCTGATGAAATCAGTGCCTAGAGACGGCGGCTTGGGGCCACCAAGACGTTGCAGAATCAGGACAGAGAGATGCAGTGTTGTAGTTTGAGTTTTCTTTGCAGGTTCAAGTGCAGGACCCCGAGGATTTTTCTGTTTCCAAGGCCATTATCCTCCGGTTACGGGTAACGCTCATCCCATGGACATTGGCATGGCGACCTTTAGTCCATTAATAGGAAAGGGCGGGATGTGAATCCTTCCCATCCCCCAGTGAAGTCCTGACAGTTTGTCCTGCCTCACAGTGTCTTTTTGGCTCACAGGTGTTTGTCATGGTTCACTAGGGAGCATGTGGTCCTCTGCAGCATTCACGTAGTGCCAGGGCATGGGTGGGTGGCGGGCTGGGTCAGAATTGGCTGTGAGCCTGCGGAGGAACAGCCAGGAGAGCCACATTGTACCTTGATTAGAAGCAAACGCAGGAGGAAGAAGAGGCCCTGCTCCCGGGCGGAGGTAGGCCAGCGAGGGAGCTCAGCCGGCAGGTCGGTCACCCGGGGTGATGTGGGGCCAAACTCGCTGCCCACATTTTATCGCCTTTCCCCCCACGGGAACAATATGGGCGCAACACGGCATCTGTGCTGAACAGAGAGAAAGGGCCGGGGTGGGCCGGGCAAGGCAGTGGGGACAAACAGCTTGGCCCAGGGTGGCAGGATGGGCAGAAAGACCTGTAATCTGCATTTTCATTTTTGGGGAAGGTAGCTTCCACAGTTGATGGACAGTCCAAGTTCTGGGAAGGGCTCTGGTCCTTTTTAGAAGCTACTATGCAGACGGGGTGGGCAGGTGGCAGTTTAAAGATTTCTAGTCATTTCCCCCATTTGGAATCATAGGATCAGTTCCTACTTGGGTAGGAATAGAATAGGACTTACTGCCAATATTATGTTGAAATTTATTGAAAAGAAGGGATGCTGCCATTTAGTGTGATCCGTGGACTGCATGATGGTCTTCTGTCTTCTGCGTACCGAGAAGGCTGGACAACGGCGTGCCTCCCCTCACCCCCTGCCTCAGTGTCACCAGACTGTTTCCTAATAATCCTTTCCCCTCTCAGCCACCTAGATAAGTTTCATCTTAAGGAAACTTCGTAGACAAAAACTCCAGATTTTTCAAAAGATGCATGAGACGGTGATCATTAACCTCATTACAAGAAATGACTGTGTCCGTGGATGTTTCTCTGAAGAGTGATTTATAAGAAAGCGGGCTAACAGATGCAGCCCCTGCCCCCGAGGAGCAGACTGCATCACCCTGGGAAGGCCCCTCCATGTCTCTGAGCTGGGCTTGGCCTCAGTGTCCTCTGGTCTAGTCTTGGGATGGCTTCAGCCTGTGGCACTCTCTTGGACACAGAATGATTTGGGGATTTGTTCTGTTGGACTGTTCAGTTGGAGCATCGGTTCTTAACCTTTTTTGCCCACTATCAGGGTCCCCTTTGGCAGTCAGGGGCAGCCTCACGGACTCCTTCTCAGAATCATGTTTTAAATATGTAACATATTACAAAATGCATGCTTAGCACAGTGCCAGGATTACTGAAGGAAGCCAATTGTGTTGAAACACAGCTATTTTTTATGTTGAAGTCCTAGTTGTTTTTAAGAGAAGCTCAGTTAAGAACCTTTGAGTTAGAGGTGTCCCTGGGGCCCTTCCGGAGTGAATCCCTTCCCATGAGAGATTATAGGCCTAGTAATTCCCATTCACATAGACTGGTAGAACAGAGTGCACTCAACTTTGTCCCAAATTCTAAGCTTCTTATCGCGTTTTGAGTGTCCTTGGTGATGTAGATAAAATATGAATAGGTCAGCCATTGAATGGTAAAGAAGATAATGGAAATAGACATGTGACCCACTGCTTCCTTGAAAAAAGAGGAGGATTACCTGGGGGGGGAGACAGGGTGGGCCACAAAGGCTAGGGTCCTCCAGGACGAGTCACCGAGCTGGAGGGGGCTCTCTTGGCTCAGAATTTTGTCTCTTTCCAAGGGGATGGTAGGGGAGGGAGGACCATGGGAGCACAGCTGGAAGGGATCTTAGCGACCATCCACTCCATTTTACAGATGAGGAAACTGAGGCCCTGGAGGTGCCTCCGATCCCAACTCCAGCAGACTTTCTGGCTGCCGAAACCAGTGAGGGGATCTTAACTGTTGCCAGCAGGAAGAGGGGTGAGACTGAGAACCCCATAGTTTCCTTTTTGTTTTATTCTGGCTCATTATCAAATCAAATGAGATAATCATTGTAAAAAGTACCGGGCACATAGCCAGATTGTTTGAATGCTTATTCTGGCCTGGGCCTTACCCAGCATCTGGGCACAGAGAAGCTGGATCGACATGTTCTGCTTGGCCCCCCAGGGCAGAACCAGCCCCGGCAGGAGGGGGGCCCAGTGGGACCAGTGTGGCCGCGATGCCTGGAAAAGAGTGGGCCCCCCTTCTTTGGGGGTCTTTTCTCGTTGGGCATGTTAGAGAGGGGGATTCTTCTTGTGTTTGGAGGTTGGGCTAGGTGGCCAATGAGGGCCTGCTAACGCTCCTATTCTGGGCTTCTGTGAGAGGCTGCTGCCCTCTGGACAGGGCTGGACCCGCCTGTGTGTGCATACTCACAGAGGATGTCCTCAGTTTCCACCTCCCATGCCTGCTGGCCCAGCGCCAACCCCACTTTGCCTTCTGCCCCCATGCCTTTCCTCTTATAGGCACTAGGTGGCAGACTAGACTTAGAGTCACAAAGACCTGAGTTCAAATCCTGTCTCAGACTCTGGGCCCTGAGCAAGTCACTTCATTTCTTTTGGCCTCAGGTTCCTTATCTGTAGAGTGGGGATAATGTGAGTACACCCCCCCCCCCGGGTTGTTGAGAGGATCAAATGAAATCGTGTTTGTAAAGGGCTTTCCAAACCTGGAACGCCACTTCCATGTCTGCCGTCATTTCCTGCCTCTTGTCCCAGCGGTAAAAATCCCAAGACAAAGGTTTGAGTCTGTGTGGTTCTTCTGTGACCTTACACAAGTCACTCACTTTCTCAGGGCCTCAATTTTCTTAGCTGTCAAAGGAGAAGCTTGGTAGATGGAGCAGGGGCATTTGGACCATGGCTCCTTGGGCAGTCTGGGGCAATCTGTCAACCCCTTCTCAGAATCCTTTTAAATGTATAAACTGAATAGGATAACAAAGGAAACCAAATAGATTGAAATACCCTTAGCAAAATATTTAGAAAAAAGTTACTGGATTTTAGGCTAGGAGCCCCTAGACAGCAGGCCCTCCCAGGCCTCTTCCAGCTCTGAATCTTAGGAATTTTTATAGTCTCACTGCTTTCTTACTGGCCCAAGTTGTTTTCATTTTTCTGAGGCTCAGTTTCCCTGTCTGTAAAATGGGGATAGTAGTCTTGGCAGACCAGGGTTGCCTTGAAGATTATCACCAGCCCTCCACCTCTTCCTCAACAAACTGAAGGCTTTCCCTCTCACCTCCAGGACCAAATATAAAGGCCTCTGGCAATGAAAGCCCTTCCCACCCAGCCCCTTCCTGCCCTCCATCTTCTTACACTTGACTCCCTCGTGCACTCTGCAGTCCATCTTCTCTAACATCGTTGCTTTTCTTCTTACCCAGTCCACCCATCTCCCACCTCCAGCACTTACACCGGCTGTTCCTCAGGCTTGAAACGCTCCGTCCCTTGCCTCCGCTCCCCAGTCACTTTCCATCTCATCTGCCTCTGTGGCCTAGTTATTCACACGTTGTCTCCCCGTTGGATTGGGGACCCCTTGAGGGTACTTGGGGTACTGAGGGTGTTTTGGTCCCCTTTTGTATTCCTAGAGGTTACTAGGTAGCACAGAGGCAGCCGTGATGATCTTGTTCAATTCCTCTTTTTAGGGCAGAACATGAAGCTGGCCATCAGAAGTAGAGCACCACGCTCTGTCTAAAGGACTCTTCTTGGAGGACCAAGCTGGCATCCATGCAGTGCTGACCCTGGAGGACGGACCGCAGGTGGCTGCGTGGGACCCAGCGCCACGGTCCATGTTGCCCTGCATTGGCACCAAGAGTATTTCCTTGGTCGTGTTAGCAGCATGCCTTCGTTGACAAAAGCCCCGAGCACACCACCAGAGGAGAAGCCCAAGGGGAAATCTCCTGCCCTCGAGGACAAGCCCAAGGGGAAATCCCTGCTGGGCCTGGGCTCCCTCTTTGGGAATCGGGGTGAGAAAATTGTTATTGCGAGAAGCGATAGTGCCCCCGATGAGAATGTCCTGAAGATCACCATCACAGAGACCACAGTCATCGAGTCAGACTTGGGCATATGGAATTCACACGCTCTCCTCTACCTCACCCTGTGGTTCTTCTTCAGCTTTTGTACTCTCTTTCTCAACAAGTACATTTTGTCTCTGTTGGAAGGCGAGCCCAGCATGCTGGGTGAGCTCACTCTAGGTTCTTAGGGACATTTTGGGACCTCGTGGTGGGGAAGGGCGCCGGGCACCAGGCAGCTTTCTCTCTCTTTGCCTTATGTACGACGTGTCTGATTTCTGTGCTGCTGGAGATTTAACCCACATGGAGTGCCGGGAGCACGCTGTAGGGATGAGAAAGAAGTCGTTCCCTTGGCTTGCAATGTCAGAGCAAAAGACATGGTTTTCCTATAACTCCACAGATTGGTGTGTGAGATTTTGTGTGTGTGCGTGTGTGTGTGTGTGTGTGTGTGTGTGTGTGTGTGCGTGCGTGTGTGTGTGTGTCTCTCTTAGGGAAGGGTGACGGGCAGTGCAGCTCTCAGCAGAGCTGTTGCCTCAGTTCATTCATCAGGTGTTTAGGACAGTCGAGGCCCTGACTCGATTCTGGCTTTCTCTTCCTCCTAGGAGCTGTGCAGATGTTTTCCACCACACTGATTGGCTGTATTAAGATCTTTGTTCCATGCTGTTTATATCAGCACAAAGCACGCCTGTCCTATCCATCTAATTTCATCATGATAATGATATTTGTTGGACTAATGAGGTAAAGAATCTTTGTGGCTAAGAGAATGTTGGATCATGTTTCTCTATTTAAATCTCATTTTTACCCGTGGTTATGGTCTCTACATCACTTTATTCTTGAATCTATTCCTCCTCCCTCCCTACCCAACATCCTTTACAACAAATATTTTTTTTTTAAGGGGAGGGGGAGAGATTTTTTAAAAGACGGAGAGGACGTTCAGCCAAACTGGCCAAGCTCAAGTGTGTCTCTGCCTCTCCACGAGCATTGGCGCCAGCCTAGGGGAATATGCCAACAAACACGATTGGGTCCTCCTCTGCTTTCAATGTAAACCTTTTAACAGCAGAGAGCGGCCCTCCCGTTCTGGCCACACTTCACCAGTTCTGCGCTGGGCTCCTTCAAGCCTTCTGAAGCAAGCAGACGCTTTTTGTGATAACTCACAAGATAAAGCAGCTTCACCTGAGTGATAACGGCTGATGTCACAGACGCGAGTCTGTGTGCCAACAAATGGCTCCCTTTTTCTGGGGCCTTTTCATATTGGTTCAAAGTTTATTAATAACACTTGTCATAAAGGCAGCAGGGTTCACTTGGAAGAAAGCTGGCCTTGAAAGCTAGGAAGACCTGGGTTCAAGTCCCACCACTAACACTTGCTCGCTCTGTGACCCTGGGCAAGTCCCTCCACCTTAGGGCACGTCTCCCAGACTCTGGGTTGCAGAGAAGAAGCAGACCTGCAGTGGGTTGAAGGACTTTCCCCACCTGGGAGTTCTTCACATCACTGAAATCCCAGGTCCAGTCTCTGTCCCCTCTAGTAGTATTTATTATAAGAGGCAAGTGAAGACAGGAAGACTTGGGGGTCAAGAGGCTGGGCTATAGCAGTTGGTATCTCTGTGACTTTGGGCAGGTTTTTATTCCTCTCTGAGCCTCAGTTCCCTCATCTGTAAAATGGGGATAATAATAGCCCCTCTCTCCCAGGGTGTTGTGAGGAAAGGCTTCAGTCATTTTCCGAGTGGGACGTAAGTGCAAGCAGATGTTACGTAGGGGGAGGCAGATAAAGTCTAGAGTAAGATGAGTGAAACCTTTGGGAGAGAAAATATCTTTTTTTTATTTTTGGTCTACCTGAGGGCAGACATTTCTTTCATATGAACGTGTGTGTCTGATGGTCAGAAATTTCCCTCTTTCAGGATGAAAGACCACTTCTAAGTGGCCTCTCTGGAGGAAGGAACAGGAGATGGCTTTGCTTAGATTTTTTAAAAAATGTATGTGTCTTTCTCTACTTATTATATGATTTTATGATGCTTGCTGACTGTTCTTCATAGAAGCTCTACCTCGCAGCAGGAGAGCCACCCTGATGACCTCTGACCTGCTGTTCTTGACTTCGTTTTCAGATTTGCGACGGTGGTCTTGGGGCTGGTTAGCTTGAAAAACGTGGCTGTCTCGTTTGCCGAAACAGTGAAAAGCTCAGCTCCTATCTTTACGGTCATCATGTCCAGGATGATTTTAGGAGAATACACTGGTAAGTGGTCAGTTCCAAATTGTCGAAGGGTACTAGTGAGGGGCAGGGCTGGGTGGCAGCAGAGATCTCTCCCAGTCCTAGCCCTGAGTTCTGTAATTTAAAGCCTCTCTGCCCCGCACAAGTGAGAGCCCTCAGTATATCCTGCTGACCACGCGATGGAGAGGCTGCTGGCTAGCTAGCTCTTTACAGAGGTCAACATGAAGGCTGGGCGGCCGGGGTGGAAGTAGAGTAGTGGGCTAGGAGAGTAGTTTAAGCATCCCCTAGTCCCCTGGCACTCATTGTAGGGCCTTTGCTGCCCTGCGGCCGAGGCTCCAAAGGCTCCTTCCCTCTTCTTCACCTCTGAGACATTCTCTCCTGTGTCCCTTCTGCTCACCTGGCACTGCACCCTACTTCTGACCCTCGTCTTCTCTGTCCAGACGATTTTCATAGCCTCCTCATGGGCCTCCCTGTCTCCACTCTCTCCTTTGTGGCCCACCCTTCACATAACTAAAGAATTTTCTAATACTCTTATCTGACCGTGCCACAGCCTGTTGGCATAGAAACCTTAGTGCGTCCTGTCTCAGACACATCCTGCCCCCAGCACCCTGGGCAACTCTCCAAAAACCAAAAGCTGCAGAGACGCTTGCATTGGTAGAGAGGGTTTCCTCATTGGGGTTTCCCACATTAGTAGAGTCATGAGGTCAGACTTTCTGTGACCAATTATTGAATTAATGATGACTTACCAGTCATGTGAATACATTATCAATAAAATTATCAGTAAATAAATCTGTTAGAGAAACACATGGGCTTTTAAGTTGTGGGTCCAAATTTTTTTTCACATAAGAAAGACTTATCTAGTAGTACATTTTGGAGACTAGAAGCTACCGGCAATAGCTTATGGTCTGTCTCTCCTCCTCTTCCCTCCAATCTTTCTAGGACTGCTGGTGAATCTGTCCCTTATCCCCGTCATGGGTGGGCTCGCGCTCTGCACAGCCACCGAAATCAGCTTCAACGTCCTGGGGTTTTCCGCAGCCTTGTCCACTAACATCATGGACTGGTAAGACCTAAGACTGTAGTGAGAGTGAGGGAGAGAGACAGAAAAAGCAAGACAAAGACAAAGATGGGAGAAG